ATTGTGCTAATATATTACTATCAAACCTAATCTTTCTGTCACAGTAAAACAAGAGGCACCAACTATGTGGCAAAGTAATGGAGCCTTACCTTAGCATCCTGAGATAAGGAAGCAGGTGAGAGAGAAAGGAGAGGATAACAATTTGGAACAAGAGACTGCTTTCTGACTCTTGAGGATGAGTGATTTGGAATAGAAACTGGGAGACTTGAAAGCTGACTGATACTTTCTAAGGAAAGTTTAAATGTAAGGAAAGAGATGACAAACAAAGACATCTTCTAGCTCTGACACTTTATGATCTTGTGGATATCCTTCCATACAAGCTTTTGTGAACTATTTCAAATGCCATCAGAATATGCATGCAAGCACAGGCCCATGCATTTGCCTACTAGCCCATATTCACCAAAGAAAGATTTTTCTTTGTAACAAGTTCAGCTTGTGAATTTAATCAAAGTTTTAATGTAATGTATTTATTGCTATAAAGTGGCACATCATAGCAGACTTAAGTGACAGAATTTGGTTCAAGCTATGATGAACCAAATCTAGAAACTAATATGTCCAGTAGTGCTCATTCATACCCAAGGTGCACTCATGAATAGGTTTCTGTTATGTTCACAAAGAGGGGAGTCTCACTAAATATGCTTTGCAGTGTCATATATCTAGACATCCGACCCAATTCATATTTCACACATGCATTTTACAGAAATTCAGTAACCCTAACAAGTTCATTCAATTCTACCAAATAATTTTCAAAATAACTTATTCATTGAAATAATTTTTATAATGTTTTGTTTTTAAAATGGTGAAGAACATGTAGGAACATGAGGCATAAATTCAAAAACCTGTTGGGAATTTCACATTCTGTATTGCTACACAGGTCCTAACAAGCTAAGTTCAAGAGAAATTTTACTTGTTTAATGTAACACAAATAATAAAAACTAAGAGACTGACATTGGGGCTCAAGCTTCGAGCTAAAGATCAGAAAAGTAAACAGCCAGCCACTAGCTCTTACCTCTACTTCAGGCTGAAAGGAATGTCCTGTCCTCAGTGTGGCTGGAGAATAAATCTTCACATGAGGCCCTTTGCTTTTTCCTTTATACTCCCCTAGTGCTAGGATTAAAGGCATGTGATCCCAAGTGCTGAGATCACATTTGTGTGAGCTTTTTCTCTTTAGGACATGTATCTCAATGTGGTCTTGAATTAACAGAGATCCATCTGCTTGTCTCTTGAGTCCTGGAATTAAAGGTTTGTGCCACCACTTTCTGACTCTATGTTTGACTAGTATCGCTGCAGGGGTTAAAGGTGTGTATTGCCATTGCCTGTCTCTGTGGCTTGTGGCTAGTTTTGCTTTATGTGCTCTCAGGCAAGCCTTAATAAATCATTAAAAATATATCACCCCAATTTAATAATGGACTCTACCTTGACTTTTTGATGTGCGTGGAAAAAATGATGTAATTTATACCACTAAAGTAATGTATTTAAATCCAAAGATCTGTTATTTTTCTTACAATAATATGGGTTCTTCCAATTTAGCATGTTTACTATCACCCTATGTTGTGCAAGATCAATTATGAACTATGTAATCATAAAAATCTCATGAAGCAGGTACTAGCATTCCCTATTTTAGAGGCACAAAATATGATGTCTAGAAAAATTAAGTACCTTTTCACACACTGCAGAACTGGGTACATTTGGAGCCAGAGATTTGAAGCAACATAGTTCAACCATAACCTTTAACCACTAGAAACATTGTTTTGTAGACATCAGGAGCCCACATTAATCATTGCTCAGTAATGACTGATGGCTATAGTTATCATCGGCATTCTTCATAATAAAGAAGTCCCAACTCTGACAGGCAAGCAGGTGGATTGTGGCTATGGAACACCTTAAAACCTGCAATGTTCAGCTCGGTAGGAAAGTCAAAATATGTTCATGGAAAGAAAAAATATTAAAGGTCAAACTCTCAAAATGAAAGCATTCCTTCAGCAAATTCTCTATTAACCATTAGTTCTTATCTTTATCTTTTCTAAAAACTAGGTCATTACAAAAGAGTCACTATGAGTCAAGAAATCAAGTCTAATTCAAAAGAAAAAGACAGGTACCTGGACTAGAATTAGGATACCAGTGACAGTCCGAGCCTGTCAGGGACTTGCTTGGTGTTTGAGACTGACAGAGGAACACTGACAGTCTCTTCAGTTTCATTCCACCCCAAAGCAATAATAACAACAAAGCCACCCATCCCCTCCCCAACATACAAACATATACCCCAAGAGATGGATTTAATATGAGTAAATGATGTAGACGAACACAAATGATATCAAATGTAAAAAAAAAAACAAGATCTTTTCCTTTGCTCTAGTTCCCCAACACTTTAGTCTGTCTGCATCCCCAAGGTTTTGACTATTGTGCCCCATGCCTCTTTACTTAGTCACAGAGATTGCATTTGAGGTCATGCAACAGACACTATCCCAGGCTCATCCTCTGGGGGCTAGTGTCCGCTCTGTGGTGTCTAAGCCAGCCAGAAAATCTGAGTTGATACCAGTGAGTTAAAATGAACGTTTTCACATTGAGATGATACTTATTGTCTCATTCTAGCTCTCATACTTACAGTTCAAGAAGCCTAGGCATGTTCATACCACTGTAAGTGTGTGTGTGTGTGTGTGTGTGTGTGTGCGTGTGTGAGCACATGCACTTGTATACATGCATGAATGTGTGTTATGTGTATGTATACATGTTCATATAGGTGTGCCTGTATGTGTGTGTGTGTGTGTGTGTGTCGTGTGTGTGTGTGTGTGTGTGTGTGTGTGTGTGTGTAGAGGCCAGAGGTCAATATTGGTGTCTTCCTTAAAGACTCTACACTTCAATTTTTGGGATAGTTTCACACTGAACCTAGATCTTAACAACACACCCCAGGGATGCAACTGTCTCTGCCCTCTAGCACTAGGATTACAAATGTGCCGTATCCTTGCTTTTACATGGGTGCTGTGATCCAAACTTGGGTCCTCTTGCTTGCATGGTATGCATGTTAGCAACTGAGCCATCTTACCAAACTTGTGTATTATTTTAAATATAAAGTGAGCAGATACAATGACTATGGATAGACATCTTGCTAGGATCCCATGAAATAATTCATGTAAACTGTTTTACAGGGTGGTACCCACAGCAAATCCCCAGCACAAGCCAGCTCTTTTTATAATGTTGGCAGCAATCAATTTTGTTCTTGAAACCACCACACTGCCTAAGCCTTAAATCTCAGTGCCATTTGTGAGCAGAGTCACACAGAGGTGTTAATTTTGCTCATCAGGTTGGTGATTGGTGCTTGTTTGCTAACACTGAAAATGCTGGCAATGGAGGGAAGGAGGGCTGGCAGAGGAGCTCTGCTAATTACCGGAGGTGCAAATCCGACACATAGCGCTCTCATGAGGCATAATGAGCCTGAGCTGAGGTGAGGCAGGAGGTTTGTTACATACATTGAATCAGAGGCTGTAATTACTTAGCATCCCAAATGTGAATGATTCTTTGGGAAACAGAAGAAAGCAATCCACCCAACCTCCGCCCACCAACAAGAGTCCTCTTCAGTCAGCCAGTGATGCATGGAGGAGCACAGATAGAAGGTTAATTTCCTCCAAACAGCAGTTGATTAGATAAACTGCTATCTGTCTTCAAACACTGTGCGAAGAAGCAAAAGAAAGTGATGCAGGAACAATGTCCTTCATCAAAGGGGACCCATAGCATTTCCTCAATGGTCAATGAGGGGATTGGCAGTGGGTCATTTGAAACTGTATTTATTTAAAACTTAGGACCAGAAGCAGTCAATCAAGCAACAATCAAAATAGAGAAATAAGAGCCATTCCTTCTCTCCTTAAGTAATGTTACACATTGTCATGAATGGGCTGAAGTAAATGATGTGGGTTTTCAGACTCTACAACAAACAAAGATGCTGAGAGAATGTGTATGTTATACAATGTGGCAATTCAGTCATTTGATAATAATTATTCAATAGTGCCACCTGTAGGCAGCCATATGCTCCTTTAAGAGAAAAGATGGGGAATGTGTAAAGATAGATATCTCACCTTTCAAAGTTTGATAAGGACTTTCAGATCACACTGAAATTTTAATTCAAGCGCTAAGTTTCATTAGCCCTGCATGCTTTCAAAACTTTCCCAACCTTTCTGTGTAATAGTTCTTTTTGTACCTCTAGTGGCAAGAAACACATTTTAATATACATACAATGCTACAAAGGTCTTTTAGAGGGTCATTGCTTTTGTTACTATTATTACTTATGTGTGCATGTGTGCTTGTGTGCATGTCCCAGAACATGTGAAGAGTTCAGGAATGAACTTCAGGAATTGGTTTTCTCCTTCTGCCATGGGGACCCAAGGATTGAATTCAAGTTGTCAGACTCAGCAACCAATGCTCTTACCCCAGCCTAATTATTACTGCTTTCCCTTGAAACTGACATCCACAAAATAAACATAAAACTTCATAACTCGCAGTCTATGGGACCTCTCACAGTGGAGCCAGTGTTTGTACCTAGTGCACAAATGGACTTTGAGAACCCATTCCCTGTGGAAGGGTACTATTGCAACCCAGATAAACAAAAGAGAGCCTGCCTCCCCCCCCCAATGATATGACAGACTTTGATGATCCCCTGGTGAAGGTCTCACTATCCTTGGGAAGTGGGTGGGGGTGGGTTAGGGAGGTTGTTGCAGGGCATGAGAGGATGGGAGGGACAAATGCGGGATTGATGTGTAAAATAAGGTTGTTTCTAAAATAAAACAATATTTTAAAAAGTTCATCACTCACATCATTGTGGGTTGCAACTAGTTTTTTTCAGAATTTCCCCTTGTATCTTCTCATTTTTTTGTCCCATGATTCCTACCTTGTATTGTTATGCATCATCTTTTTATGCATTTTGTAAGGTGGAGTGTTTGGTCACTCAATTCTACCTTTTTTGACAAAATAGGACTGTTATGCTATACTTAAGGAAGCATGCTTTAAAGTTTTGATAAAATCCATTTATTCTCTAATTTATGTCTGTTCCTTACCCTACACACAGGGATCAATAAACATTAAACTTTGTCCTTGGTATCAGCTCATCAGAAAGTCTATCTGGTCCTCAAGTTTTGGGATTCCTTGCGGGTGGGACAGGCAAATTCTGTTTTCTGGACCTTGTTCTCACTTTCCATTCTCCTTCAATAAATATCTTCCCTTCACAATCTCCAAAAGAAGAAACAAATCCGTTGGTTTTGTTGACCCAGTAAACACTGATGCTGTTGTGTTTTCACACCAGCAGATGGAATTTTCTGAGAAAAGGGAAAGGCCCTCAGAAACCTGCTCTGCAATTTTCAGTTTGCACGCTTCTTCAGTCTGAAGTACCCTGGAGATTTCAAACCTTGCTACAGGTGTGCACCGAACAGCTTCCCTCTGGGCCTGGCTTCCAGGAAGAGTTGGCACTTTGACAAAACAAAAGAAAACATTCCTGTCTGGTAACAAGATGGAAGGCTTGGGGTCAGGAAGGCAGCAGACGTGTGAATCTAAAGTTTCTGAAAGAGAGAAGCACAGATTGCTTTTTGAGCTATAATTTTCAGCCCTGTGAAGGCACCTCGGCCACAGATCATCACTATGCAGCTATTGTATTTCAGGCATTGATTTTTGTGATGAGATACAGGGAATAAGCAAACGCTGAATTTTCATTAGCTCTTTGGGGAAAGGGAGAATCCTCCCCAAACCAGACTGCCCAGGATACATTAAGAGGTAATTTATAAGACATGGCTTAAACCAACAAGATATGACTTAAACAAATAGCAGCAATAAAAATAAAGCATTTCTGGGTGGGTTGCTAATTTGAACTAGATCATGCCCCTGGTAAAGTGCTGGCCATTCAAAGCACATTTCTTTCCTTTAAACTTTTATGGGGCAACTCTTTTGACTTCATTCTATTTTCTTTTGGGTATGTTTTACACATAAATGCACTATGACAAACTGGAAGAAACGAATGATAGTCCCGGGTTGGAGATTTTATATGTACATACATACATACATACATACATACATACATACATACACCCTTGCTGAGGAGATATGCAGAAGAACTTTTTTACTCTAGACATGGAACCAAGAGACGAAAGATATGATTCTACTCCAGTCCAATTCAGTGAACCAATGAGAATATTGAGATTACTTACAGGAACACAAGTGACTTACCTACATACAGATGTGTCTTTAAAAAGCCTGCACCAGGCACAAAATTAGTATGACTAAAACACCCACTCCAGTCAACATTCCATCACCTTTATATCTTAGTAATTCCAAGAATTGCATGCAGCAGTGCAGTGTTATATGCAGCTGTGGCAGAGTGTACAGAAATGAGGAAGTGGTTGTCATTTTAAGTGACAGTCTGATGACTCTCTCCTCCTCCTCCTTGTACTAAGAACTGATGGCAATAATCACTGCAACCTTGAGTTCAAGATACAAGTTCATTCAGGTGGGGACCAAAGCAGTCATGGTCTGCCCAAGTGGCTCACAAGGTAATGAGGAGATCGACTTTAGTCAAACAGTCAAGCACATTTCATTACAAACTGTGATAATGGGTTTGAAGATTAAATATTTGATTCCAAGGGAGAATATACTAAGAGAGATCTGGTCTATTACAAATGACTTGGGGGACTTTTCTAAAGGCATGATGGTGGCAGGATGCATAGAATTGAGAGGTCAGGAAGGTGAAGGATGGAGACTGTAGTGCATTATACGAGTGAGGGAAGCAAGTAAAGTGAGAAGGTACCAGACCATGCAATGCTTGGGCCATGCTAAGGAAAATTATTTCATCAGAAGTATTTCACTGAAGGATCCTTAAAACATGGGCATTGGAGGGTAGAAACAGAATCTGATCTAAATTTCGAGATGTTTATTTTTCCCTGCTTTAAAGTGAAAGAAGACTTATAATCAAATGCTCAGTGTGATGAGGTTTGAAAGATTCAGTATTTTGAAGTGATAAGAAATTGGTGCAAATGGAGCTTGGGAGACATCACATCCTCAGAACCCCCAATGTAGTGACTATGCTTGCTAGCCTAGCTGAGGTATACAGTGAATCCAGGTCCCCCTTGGAGGCCCCATGTCAAACAGCAAGGTGAATGGCTTTAAAATTTGAAACCTCCGTCAATGGGACCAGTGCCTGGGGACCACCATCGAGCCTCCCCTCCTGGTGGGACCATATGCACCCAAGATTCCTAGTCTTCTTTTCCACCAATGGGACCAGGTAAACCAGGCCCTATATCCGGGCCTGCCTTCCAGTGCCTGGGGCCTGTCATAGAGTCTCACCTGCCCACAGGAGCCTATGTACCCCAGTTTCCTGGTCTTCTTCTCCACCCACAGGACCAGGCAATTCTGGGCCTGTTTCTGGCCTGTGATCCAGTGCCTGGAGACTGCCACTGAGTCTCCTCTCCGGTGGGATCTTACGCACCCCAGATTCCTGGTCTTCTTCTCCACCCAAGGGACCAGGACTAGGACCAGGAAGAGGAGAACTACCAGAGTATTGGACTTGCTTGCACCCATCGAAAGGGAACTCTGACCTCCTGACCACCAGGAGGAGGCTATTTCTGCACCCACTAGAAGAAGGGATGGGAAGGAGACAATACAAAAACACACTCAGCAACAGAAAAACAAATGTGACACTGTTAGAATCTAGAGACTCCACACCAGCAAGACTCCAACATTCCAATGCAAATGAAGCAGAAGAGAATGACCTAAAAAATGACTTCATGAAAATGATACAGGCCCTCAAAGAGGATATGGGAAAATCACTCAAACAAATGGAAGAAAAAGCAAACCAAAAAAAATTCAAGAAATGGAAGAAAAAACAAACCAAAAAATACAACAAATGCATGAAAGGAAAAGCAAAAATTGGAAGAAACAATACAAACAGTGCAAGGGTTGAAAACTGCAACAGAGACAATAAAAAAACACAATCTGAAGAAAGGCTGGAAATAGAAAATGGTCAGGTACTACAGATGCAATCATAACCAACAGAATACAAGAGATGGAAGAGAGAATCTCAGGTGTTGAAGATACACTAGGAGAAACTGATTCATTGACCAAGAAAATCTTAAGTCCAACAAATCTCTAACACAAAACATCGACAAAAAAAACAAATCTAAGAAAAATAGGTATAGAAGAAGGTGAAGAAAACCACCTCAAAGGGGCAGAAAATATATTCAAAAAAATCATAGAAGAAAACTTTCCCAACCTAAAGAAAGGCATGCCAATGAATGTACAAGAAGCTTACAGAACACCAAATAGAGTGGACCACGTAAAAAGTCCCCTTGCCACATAATAATGAAGAGCCCAAATATACAAAATAAAGAAAGAATATTAAGAGTAGCTAAGGAAAAATGTCAAGTAACATATAAAGACAAACCTATAAGAATTAGAGCTGACTTCTCCATGGAAACTCTGAAAGCCAGAAGGTCCTGGATAGATTTTCTACCAACACTAAGAGACCATGGATGCCAGCCCAGACGACTATACCCAGCAAAGCCTTCAATAACTATAGATGGAGAAAACAAGATATTCCATGACAAAACTAGATTCAAGCAATATGTGTCCACTAACCCAGCCCTACAGAAAGTTCTGGAAGGAAAACTCCAAGCAAAGGAAGTGAACTACAATCAGAAAAACATAGGCATTAGATAATCCCACCTTACCAATAGCCGAAAGAAAAAAAGGGTGGAATTCCACATATAATTCCACCTCAACAACCATTCCAAATCAAAGAAGAATGAGCAATCAATGGTTATTAATATCCCTCAATATTAATGGTCTTAACTCGTGCATAATAAGACACAGGCTAACAGAATGGATTCAAAGACAGAACCCATCCTTCTGCAGCATACAAGAAACACACCTTAGCCTCAAAGACAGACATTACATCAGAGTTAAAGGTTGTGAAAAGATTTTCCAATCAAATGGGCCCAAGAAAAAAGCAGGGATAGCAATCCTAATATCTAACAAATTAGCTTTTAAACTAAAATCAATCAAAAGAGATAAAGGAGGTTATTTCATACTAATCACAGGAGAAATCCACCAAGATGAATTTTCAATTCTGAACATCTATGCCCCAAATACAAAGTCATTCACATTTGTAAAAGAAATATTACTAAAAATCAAATCATATATAAGGCCCCACACACTTATAGTGGAAGACTTCAAAACACCACTCTCACCACTAGACAGAAATACCAGACAGAAACTTAACAAAGAAAGAAAGGGACTAATAGAAGCTATGACCCAATTGGGATTAACAGACATCTATATAACATTCCAAGCACCACATGGAACCTTCTCAAAAATCAAACACATAATTGGCAACTTATCAAACCTCAACCGGTACAAAAAAAGTGGAATAGCTCAATGCACCTTATCAGACCACCATGAGTAAAAATTAGAATTCAACAACAACACAAATTGCAGAAACCCTACAAACTCATGGAAATTGAATAATGCACAATTACACCATTCCTGGGTCAAAGAAGAAAAAAAAAAGAAATTAAAGACTTCCTAGAATTCAATGAGACTGAAGACACAACATACCCAAACTAACAGGAAACTTTGAAAGCAGTGTTACAAGGGAAGTTCATAGCAATAACTGCCCACATGAAGAAACTGGAGAATAGTTACACTAGAGAATTAACAGCACAGCTGAAAGCTCTAGAACAAAAAGAAGCAAAATCACCCAGAAGAAGCAGACGCCAGGAAATAATCTAACTGAGGCCTTAAACAATACATTAGAAACTAGAAAAACAATACAAAGAATCAACTCAACCAAGAGTTGGTTCTTTGAGAAAATCAACAAGATAGACAAACTTTTATCCAAACTTACCAAATGGCAGAGTGTGAACATGCAAATTAACAAAATCAGAAATGAAAAGGGGGACATAGCAATGGACCATGAGGAAATCCAGAGAATCATCAGGTCATACTTTGAAAACCTGTACTCCACAAAATTCAAAAATTTAAAGGAAATGGACAATTTTCTGGATAGCTATCACTTGCAAAATTAAATCAAGAACAGATAAGCAATTCAAATAGACCTATAACACCTATGGAAATAGAAACAGTCATCAAAGGTCTCCCAACCAAACAAAGCCCAAGTCCAGATGGCTTCAGTGCAGAATTCTACAAGAAATTCAGAGAGCAGCTTCTACCAAATATTCTCAAAGTATTCCATACAATAGAAGCAGAAGGATCTTTGCAAACTCTTTCTACGAGGCTTCAATAACCTTGATCCCCAAGCCACACAAAGACACAACTAAGAAAGAGAACTTCAGACTAATATCCCTCATGAACATTGATGCAAAAATGCTCAATAAAATATTGGCAAATCAGATCCAAGAACACAACAGAAAAATAATTCACCTCGATCAAGTAGGTTTCATCCCAGGGATGCTGGGATGGTTCAACATACGAAAATCCATCTTGTAATCTACCAAGCTGAGAAACAAAAATCACATAATCCTCTCACTGGATGCTTAAAAAGCGTTTGACAAAATCCAACACCTCTTCGTGATAAAGGTCTTGGAGAGATCAGGGATAACAGGAACATACCTAAACAAAATAAATGCTATATACAGCAAACCAACAGCCAAAATCAAACTAAATGGACAGAAACTCAACACGATTCTGCTAAAATCAAGAACAAGATAAGGCTGTCCACTCTCTCCATACCTTTTCAATATTGCAGTTGAAGTTCTAGCTAGAGCAATACAACAGCAAAAGTAGATTAAGAGGATATAAATTGGAAAGGAAGAGGTCAAACTTTCACTATTTGCAGATGATAGGATAGTTTACCTAAGTGATCCAAAAAACTCTACCAGGGAACTCCTACATCTGATAAATACTTTCAGCAAAGTGGCAGGATACAAGATCAACTCAAGAAAATCGATAGCCCTACTCATACAGATGATAAAAGGACCAAGAAAGAAATCAGAGAAACATCACCCTCTACAATTTCCACAAACAACATAAAATACCTTGTGGTAAGGCTAACCAAACAAGCAAAAAACCTATATCACAAGAACTTTCAGTCCTTAAAGAAAGAAAACAAAGAAGACATCAGAAAATGGAAAGATCTCCCATGTTCTTGGATAGGTAGGATCAACTTAGTAAAAATGGCAATCCTGCCAAAAGCAATCTACAGATTCAATGCAATCCCCATTAAAATACCTACACAATTCTTCACAGATTGAAAGAACAATAATCAACTTTGTATGAAAAAAACCACCCAGGATAGCCAAAACTATCTTATTCAACAAATCAACATGTGGAGGGATCACCATCAGTGAATTCAAGCTCTATTATAGAGCTGTAGTCCTGAAAACAGCTTGGAATTGACACAAAAATATATGGGTAGAACAACTGAATATTATCCTATACATGTATAGACATCTTAACTTGGACAAAGAATTTGAAAATACACAATGGAAAAAAGAAATCATCTTCAACAAATGGTGCTGGTATAACTGGATGCAGAAAAAAAAACAATGGAATCCTGAAATTTGCAGGTAAATGAATGGCACTGGAAGAAACCCTCCTGAGTGAGGTAATCCAGTCACAAAAAGACAAACATGGTACGTACTCACTCATATATGGATTTTAGACATAGATCTGGGGAGTACCAGCCTACAATCCCATGACAAAAGAGTTTGGGAAACATAACCCTCAACCAATGACTGATGGAAGCAGAGGCAGACTCCCACTGCTAAACACCGAGCTGAACTCAAGGAACGCAGTGACAGAGAGGCAGAACTGATGAGCAAAGGGGTTAAGACTGGGCTATTTTAACCCCCAGAAACAGCTGACTTGACCAAAGGGAGCTCTTGAATCCCAGACTGATGGCTGTGAATCCAGCATGGGGCTGATCAATACCCCCTGAATGTGGGTGTCAATGAGGAGGCATAGGCAATCTATGGGGCCTTGGGTAGTAAATCAGTATTTAATCCCTGGCATACAAATGGATTCTGTGTGCCCATCCCACAATGAGAGATGCTGTCTCACCCTGGGCTCTTGGGGTAGGGTCTAGGCCCTGCCCTGGATGAAATGTCAGACTATGGACACACCCTTGGAGGGCCTTACCCTCCCTGTGGAAAGGAGGAGATACTGGTAGGGTGGTTGGTGGGAATGCGTGGGAGGAGGGGAGGGGAAGGTATAAGGACCTGGGATTGGCATGTGAAGCAACCTTGTTTCTAATTTAAATTTTAAAATAAAAAAAGAAATGACACCTGAGGTTGACTGGTCTCCACATGCACAAGCATGCACTGTACGTGTATATGTACATACACATGTAAACCACATATAAGACTGAACACACAATGAAAATGGGTGAGCATTAAGACAGGCATTTATACTTGAGAAATGTTTCATAAATAAAATTGAGAGGATGTGAAGAGGAACTTGGTGGGAACTAGAAGGGAGATAGAAAGTCCAACATATTATGAACTGAGCACACTTCCAAATACATACATTACCAGAGAACCAGGAAGTATGCTATGTAATCTAGGTTGTCTATAAAAAATAGATCTGACAGAACATGTATGTTTGCCTCTTCATTTTTCTATTTGTTTCAAATGTTTTTCTTTGAATAAAATTGTATAGTTTAAGAAATATTTCAGTAAGTGCTATGGATAGGTGATAAAGAAAAATAGCTACAAGAATTTTCTGTCTGTATGGGAGACATTTATATACTTGTTAAAGCATGCCATTTCCTGCTACCACAGATTTGTATATACATGAATTACTTCAATTTAAAAGGGTTTTACTCAAAATTGCTATCTTGTACCACACCACAGAGCTAACACATTCTAAGATCAGCCTGTGCTCTTTCTATTGGGATAAAGAAGTGGCAGAGGTAATTAAAAGCATAATATTTAAGAAATTAAATACTGATAAGAAGAATTTTGCAAAGATGCATTTGGGGAAGAATGAACAAACATTATAATTTTAATAGAATTAATGTATTCTGTGTCCTCCCAAAAGAATTAAATCAGCAATAGATTTAATTTGTAAAGTAAAAAAATTTTAATAGGATGTAAAACTCAAGACTGCAGGGTTGGGAGGATGGATCAGCAGGTAAGAATACTTGCTGAGCAAGCAAACTGGTCTGTGTTTGGGTTCTCAACACCCACATGAAATTTGGGCATGGCTATATGGCTTGTAACCCCAGCCTGAAGAATAGACGGAATAAAATTGCTAAGGTTTACCCACCAGTCAGGCTAAATAAAAAAAGTGGCAAACTCCAAGTTCAGTGAGCAACTGTCTCTGGAGAATAAGGTGGGGAGGTATATAGTGGGACAGCTAATGACATCCCCTGTCCTCCACATGTGTGTGGGTAATACACACTGGCAACACTCATGTACATACATGTATACACACATACACACACAAAGAAATCAATACTACATTAAGGAAATATAGTCTATACATGTAGAGTTATATTACAACTGGGCTTTCTATTTGCCTATGAATTTCTCAGTAGCAGAATAAAAGGTAAAGTGCTGTCTTTGGAACAGAGTTTCCCACCTAGTCTAGGAGTAATCCATTGTTCTCAATCATTACAAAATGTTCACCCAACAATGAGACAGGGAATGCCTTCAGCTACTGTTCAGAAACAATTATTGGAACTTCTCAAAAAACAATCATCACTTTTAGCAATGTTAGCCAAAAATTAAGGCAATTTCATTAAAACAAAACATAAATTAAAACATTTCATATGGGCAGCAAAGCTAACATGTTCCTGTGTTTTTCCGTTGCTCTGGCTCAATGTTAAGATAAAGCTGATAGCTGAACTGCTATTGACAATACTAAGAGGAGAGAGGCACAATCCTGTTCTCAGTAATGGATTACACGAATATTTTCATATGTTGAATTTGTTTATGTTATTTAGTCCTCAGACTTATCTATACTTAAAATGTCCACGGCCTTAGCAGACTATATCCACAAAATGCGCACTTAACTTATTTCAGTGCTTAGGTTAACACTAGATTTTTATAAACTTCTGAGCATTGACAGTTCTTGCTTCCACAAAATTATAACCATGCATTGCCAAACCACACAGATATAGGATTTGATTTAATTCACACTGTAATTTTCATCACATGTTTAAAATGATCCTCCTAAAAGAAGTACAAAGGAGTGAACAATATCTAATGGAAGGGTTTTTATAATTCTATGATTAAGGTTTGCTAATTTCCCTACCAATTTATTTCTTTAAATAATAATTATCTACTAAAGGGCACATTCAACGTGCCAGGGTTCACCAAATAGACACGATTAGTCTTTGTGTAAATCAGTCTATTTAAAAGATGACTTTCTATCAATTCCCACCAAGATACAAGATCTATTTATCTATTAGCTGAAATGTCAGCTAGTCTGGGACAATGCTTTTGCTTAGGGGCTGACAGAAGCAATAATGGTCTGAACTCAGGATTAAAGAGCTTTGTGTATGTCTGTGTTCTTCCTTGAAACTTACAGCCTAAGAAACAAGCTGGGGCAGTCTGATAGACAATGAGACTCACATGTCCAGAAGCTTCCATTTCATCAGCAGACTTTTAGACAACCTGAGGGAGAAGAACCACTGGGTTAGCTGCTCTATAGCTGTCCACATAGGCATACTTCAAAGTGGTATGAAGCTAACTGGAGGTAAATTATCTTCTCTATTTTATAAATGAGAAAACTGAGGTGGAAAAGAGTGAATCAGTTACCTATTTCACTTATCTTTAAGAAACACCTCAGATTTTGTGTCAGAAATGGTGGTCCCAGGACCAAGTATTGAATAACTCTCCTATCTTAAACAGGAATCAGGAAGCTGGGTACTAGATGAGTGGAGTGGTAGGTATTTTGAACAAAGCTGAGGAAGGGGAAATCAATTATATCCAGCTTTTGCCTAGTCAACCAACATTGTCTTATAATCATGACTAGTTAAATGAAGACATCTGCAGCAATCTTTACACAATTTTAATCTAAATCTTCAACATTTTGTTCTTTTTTATTCAGATCTCAGAAAATATGTCCATGTAGATTCACTCAAATAGAAAAGGTACTGTCTTGGTAACGTTTATATTACAGTGCGAGACTATGTTATTTTCAAAATCATGTTCCTCAAGTTTTAAACTCTAGTAATATCTGGTTACCATTCTTAGAAACTATATATATCTGAGAACATTAGCCTTGCCTGGCAAGTGTAGTTCTCTCCCCTCATCAAAGAAGTTTCTTTTTGCAGCAGACAGAAATCACTGTAGTAAGCTACAACCAGTCAAAATGCAGAGAACAACTCGCCAAAGGGCACCCCACTTCACCTGACACATGCCTATATCTAAGGCTCAGGAAAGACTAGGAAAGAGGGACCAGAAGATTGTAAGATCCAGGGAACCAGGACACCTTCTATGAGATAGCGTTTTCTAGACATGACAGGGAAGCTATACCTGTGAAATTTCAAAAACATAGCTGCTTAAAGAAAGCCTGCATTTTGACATTATCAATTGACACTACACCATGGATCGGAGAAATCTCAAAAGACCCAACCCTTAGATGAAAAGCTACAGGCAATTGATGGCTGCTTAGAGAATAGTAATCAGTCTTCTTCAGAGACAAGCCCCTTCATAATCTATCTAATACCAAGTCATCAGCACATATACATATAAGCAACATAAAATGAACTCAGTATGTGTGTGTGTGTGTGTGTGTGTGTAACATAATAAGTAAGGAAGAAGAGGTCATAAATTTGAGAGAGAGTTGGAGGATACAAGCAGAGTTGGTGGGAGAAGAGGTAGGGGGTGGAAATTACATAAAGTACTCATATATATATAGAACTCAAAAATAATAATTTAAAATAATTTAAAAAATAATAATTTAAAAGTTTAAATTATAAAAAGATATATAGTCTGCAATTGGTTATCCAATTCAAAGTGGTCATCCCTGATATTATAATCATATGTACAGTAACACTAAAGGCACACATGCACACACATATAATATAAATGATAACAATAATCAAAGAATAAGAGGCCATTAATTTGAGAGGGGTGAAGTGGCATGAGAGATGTTGGAGGGAGAGACATGAAAGGGGAAGAGTCCAGACTATGGTAGTTCAAGAGCCATTGAATTCCCAAAGGGGCCACTGAAAATTTTTAGGTTTAAAAAGCAATCATGCATCTAAAACAGACCTTCAAGCTTGGAGTGGTCAGGGGAAAGATCTGCTAAAATACCACTCATTCCTTAACATTGAAATCATGGAGGAAAATGGACTACTTTATCACTAAGATTGTCTTACACAGAAAATGGAAGTGTCAAGGGAGCTGGAAAATGATTGTCTAATATCTGAAACAGGTGCTGAGTTATTTATACCCCACTCTGAAAATAGGAGGAAAGTAGCTAAAAGCTCAGGGAGAAAAAAAAAAACCTCTTCACTTCCATGTGAAACAAAGTTGACTTCCAAAGTATGTCTGCTAATTGGATCTTCAAAAGTGACAACGGAACTAGGAAAAGGGTTAAGTGAGTAAAAATGCTTACTACAGAGCATAAGTTCATAAGTTTGGATCCAAATAACCACTCAAAAAGTCAGTAATGAGTGAACACATGAGACTGGAAGCCAAGGACTGACAGGAAGCTCACTGGGGCATGCTAGCTCACAGTTTGCCTCCAGGTTCACTGAGAGATGTTGTCTCAAAAGAAGGAACATAGAGTGATAGAACAAGACACCAAACATTCTTCTCTGGCCTGTCTACACTCAGGAGCATGCACATGAACATATGCATTCATGCATATACATATACCATATTTGCATATTGCGTGCACACACACACACACATTCATACATACAGTGACAATTCTTGAGCTAGAAGACAACTCCTAGATGTTCTATTTTTTACTTTCTTGATTTGTTATTCTGTAGAATTTCTTTCTGGAAAGGGAGACTCGGAAGCATTCTACTTTTAGCCAGGTGATCTGGGTCACCAATATCAAAATCACCTAAAGCAGTTCTTTAGTAGTTACATTTTTTTAGGTCGATCCAAGGATGCTGCTATTTCAGATCTGTGGGGAGGAGCTGTAGGATCTGCATTTAAACAACATCTACACAATCATAAGATGAACCTCTTAGAATTTCCTATTTAATGTTTGTCAGCTTAAGCATCTGAGCTGTGGGCTCGTTCTGGCAGTCCATTATCCACCCTTCCTCACTGGCTATATCTCTTTGTGTTTTAGATTCCTTGGCCTTTCATACTTCAAAGGCTTATGCTTAAGAGAAAGAGAAAATAAGAGGAAAAGTCTCAGAGCTCCCCCATGTAAAACAGTTGCTGCTGGATGCCATTCATTTTCTTTTGTCACCCATAAATATGGAGGGGAAGAAAAGAAAATCTGCAAACAATAGTGCCACAAAAAAATAATAAGTTTTGCTAAAATATCTTATTATGTAAGCATCCCCCATGCTATTCATATCTGTGGATATCTTATGAAATATTCAGTGTCTGTAACTCTGAATGCAAGCACAGAAACATCAAAAGGACCTTCACAGTATTACACAAGCAAAAAGCTACTTAGCAGTCTAACTCTCTCTGTTTTAACAAGGAGCCCAGGGATGCCTCTAACAAACCATTGTATGTGGGCTCAAGTTAAATTTAAAAATTTTCAAAGCTTCTGTCTCAAACCTCAATACCTCCCTTCCCAAGTACTTACTCAATCCTGAATCTAGATATCACCTTTTAGCTACCTAGAAGTGGACACCCTACTGGCACAGGTAACATCTTCATTCTTATGAAGACAATCACCTATGTAGTGCCTCTTCTACCTTTAAGGACATTCAAAAAATTCCTACTGGACCTGCTTCCCCTCCCCTACAGTCATCATAAAATGTGTTGACATAACATGAAAGAAGGAAATATATGCTATGGGAGGATGATCAAACATCACTTGTATCTTAAAATGAGATTTTGGATATCCTGTGCTTTAAAAGACCAAGTCCTGAATGATGAGGGTCCTGCTGCTCTGACCACAAATTGCATCATGTCAAGGACCACAAATCCCCTATACATATAAAAGATGATTCTCTGAGACATTCGACTTTTTTGTCTAGAGATCCAAGCATGTAATTACTAATGGCTAGAGAGAATCAGTGACTATGTTAGAAAAAGTTGTAAGACTGGAGAGAGAGTTCAGTTGTTAAAGTACTTGCCTTGAAGACATGAAGAGCTGAATTTGACCCTACAGAACCCACACAGAAAAAGACAGACATGCTGCCATGTTGTTAATTTTTGTTGTTGTTATTATTGTTCTGTTGTTTTGTTTTTGTTTGTGTTTTACTCTTTGTGGGACCACCACCCAGCTCCCAAATAAATACATGGAGACTTATTCCTACTTACGAAGGCTAGCCTTAGCTTGGCTTGTTTCTAGCCAGCTTTTCTAACTTAAATTAACTCATTTTTCTTCTATGCTTTGCCTCTGGGCTTTTTACCTTTCTTTATTCTTTATGTCTTTCTTCCCCTCTTCCTTCATGGCTGGTTGTGTGACTGGGTGGCTGGCTATTCTCCTCTCCTTTTCCTTTTCTCACTCCTTCCTCTTCTCTCTTCCCTCAAGCCTAGAATTTTCCTCCTATTTATTCTCTCTGCCTGGCAGCCCAGCCTATTTGTCTCTCCCGCCTAGCTATTGGCTGTTCAGCTCTCTATTACACCAATCCAGAACTTTAGGCAAGCAATGTAACACAGCTTTAGAGAGTTAAACAAAAGCAATATAAATGAATGCAATACATCTTTGCATCATTAAACAAATATTCCACAGAATAAACGAATGTAACACATATTAAACCAATATTCCACAACACTGCCATGTGCCTGCAATCAAAGTGCTGGAGAGGTAGAATCAAGCAGATTCCCATAGCTTACTGTCCAGCCTAATTGGTGAGTCCCTGTACAGTAGAATACTATATCTCAAACAAATGTGTGTGTGTGTGAGAGAGAGAGAGAGAGAGAGAGAGAGAGAGAGAGAGAGAGAGAGAGAGAGAGAGAGAGAGAGAGAGAGAGAGAGAGAGAGAGAGAGAGAGGTGGAGAGAAGAGGGGGAAAAGGTACATATCTCCTGAGGAAAAATACCCAAAGTTGTCCTCTCATCGCCATAAACATGTACACATACATGCATATGTACCCACATGCATATACAAACATGCACATGTGATATATACTGATGCACAAAAAAAGAAATCCAATAAATTGAGTGACACCAGATATCCATGCTCTGTTTTGTCATATATTCACTGTGTTTGCTTCCTTTCTCCAGGTAGCACTGCTTCCTTGTACAAAATGACACCTTGCAGTTAAATGACTTTACTGTTCACCCTATTGCCAGACTCTTATGAAGTTTTTCTTCACTCTTCCGTGGTCATACTTCTTATGATTAAAATCACATCCTTTTGAAGGAATGACCCACAGTCACATTATAAATGAAAAGAAAAAGTCTTTGGGGTCCTAATCAAGAAGCCTGAAAGGGTCAAGAAGGTGACATAAATGCCTTGAGAACAGCATCTTTTCCTTTTTAATAAAATGTGCATCAGCCAGGCTTTAGCACTGAATAGC